AAAAGTGTTCCTCGCTTTTCATCGCGAAAGGGGACGAAATAGCCAAAAATGGTGTAAAAAACAATTTCATTTATTCTAAGAAGTTTAAACGCGCCATATCGAAATTAGCGAATCGTTTTTAAAAGTATGAAAAGTTCTTTGATTTTTTCTCATTTAAAAATTATTTCAGATATTTCAAATTTATTTAAATTATTTAAAAAATTTCAAGTACATTGATTATTGTAAATTCTCTGCAATTCTCGGTTGTAATTTTTTCGCAGAAAAAGGAATGCAATTAATAAAAAATCAAAAAAAATCTTCGTTTACACAATTCTTTGTTGGTTTATTCGCTTTTTTTTCTGTTTTTCTATTTTTCTGCATTTTTTAGTCGTTTTCGCCGCATTTAGTGAAACTGTCGATATGCAAGCAAACGATATTTGATGAAGCGAAAAATTTTAAATATTTGTTATCAGCTGAAAGAAAGTAAAAATCTTTCCAAATGCGTCGAGAAGGATGAAACTTTTAAAAGAATTTCAAACAAATTTCTGAAATTTTGCTGTATAAATTGGCAAAATATTTTATCCAAAAAATTGCGAAAAAAGCTAAAAATAATAGAGAAAATATTAAAATAAATGAAAAAAATAAGGAGAAAAAATCAAAAAGTGTTTCTTAAAATTTAAGAAAAAAATGGAATGAAAAATTTATGAAAAAAATATAAAAAATGGAAGAATTTATTAAATATGTTTATTTTACATTTTATAGAAAAGCTCAGTCATACAAAGATTAGATTGACCAATTTTTATTTTAGGTACATACACGGCATGTTTTTCTACACTGTTGTCTTAATGTACCCGCGAATGGCTCCACAGTGCAGTATCGTTGCACTTCTGCACAATTTGCTCGGTCATCGGAACATGTCGAAACAGATGGCCCTCCTGTTGTAGCTGAATTTAAAAATTTAGAAAATTTAGCCATTAAGAAATCTTTAGATTTAAATAACTTGTTGTAATATACCACAATAATGGTACTTCTATTACCAAGTGACTCTTTGGTAAATTTTGTTTATTCTAGAAACGAACCTAATCAGTTGTAATATAGTCGAATATGTCTAAGAGAAAATTTATAACTCGCTCTAATGGATATTGGACATGCCTTCATTCTACTGAAAATATCGTTAGAAAATTTTACATAAACAGGTCCTAATATTGCATGTTCCCATGCATGTCTGCTGAATATTTGTATCATTGCAGCCTGCGAGAGCCACTAGCACAGCACAATTCAGAGAAGTATCTGGGCAGCGACCGCCTGCACCAGGTTGTTTGCATAACCCGCAGTTTCGAGGGCATTTTGCCAGTGCTGTTGCCGAAATATTTGGATTTGTGCACAACTGAGGCATCGTAAGGAATAGACTACAGCTTTGATCGTTCTCTGCAATATAATTTATAATTGCACTATTATTATAAATTTCAAATTGATTAAAATTTATAATCGAATTTCGAAAGGCTTATGAAAATATGCGTGCCATTCGTGCAGTTATATTGTGGTGTTAAGCAGCAAAATGCACAGGAGCGTGGACATGTTCTTATAGCTTCGCCTCTAAGGGCGGACTTTTGGCAATTTTCATTGACTTTATAAGCCATCATTCTGCAATGAGTTAATGAGTTTAATTAATATTAAACAGTTAAAATGAAAAAGGTGAATTTAAATCGAAATGTACTTACGGATTTGCATTATTTTGCAGATCTTGCGCAGTTGTAAGATCAAAAACCGCAGCACAAAAAGCATCGTTATTATTGCTGCAGGCATGAGCAAGTGGCGATGGACGTCGCACATTAGCAAGTGGCGATGGACGTCGCACATTAGCAACTGCACCTCCAGGTACACCTCCAGGCACAGCTGCCCCTCCTTGACCTGGAACCTCCACAAAGCATTGGTCGATTACAGGGTTATTAACCACCTGCGGATAAATTTTTTGCACAAAGCTGAAGACTATTAGCGCAACGTACATCGTTCAGTAATACTGTTCATCCACCACTCGGTATATTTATTTACCTTTTTTCAGTTGATTCAGCTGCGTATCGTTAAATCCTTTTTCTTCTTTTTTTTATCGATGATTTTCATTTAACATCAAAAATTTATTATTTATATATAATTAATTGCTAATTAATTAATTTGCAAGAGGAAATCTGTCCAAAAATCCGGGTTATGCTGGCTATTCACCTGTATTTCTATCGTTGAGGAACTCTCTGGCATATTTCTTTAGTGCGACAAGCCAGCGAAGCGAATTTAATCTGTAATGGTGAAAACTTTTGAAAAAATTAGCAATTAATTATGGTTGAATGTTGTTCAATATTTTATCGAAAAGACAAATTAAGGTAATTTCTCGCTG